CCCATTTAGAGTATAATAGACCATGGCAGGGCTACCTTGGGATTGACAGTGAGCATTGTTTCCTGTTACATACGAGTTGAAACTAAGCGAAGTGCGTCACCGCTGTTACCTCTGAAAAACTCATGGTGACAGCCATAATGCCAAACTCGAGGCTTCAAAACGGTACTCCACAAACCAAGTGATAAGAAAGTGAATAAGCGTATTTCCCAAAATGTTGATCTATAACAACTTACTGGAAGCGAGAAGATTCTTGGGTACAGTATTTTACCTCAAGGACACTTGGACAGGACACAAAGCTGGTCAGCAACACATACTGATGGTTTGCGGGGATCAAACCTGAGATCTTAAAGCTCCCGTTCCATTTATTTTTTCACAAAATCTTTCAGGCAAGATTCTTCTACTTCAATCTTATTTTCTCTAATACAGTTAAAAAACTCCTAAGAGGCCTGTGTGCAGCGCTCAAGCAAAATGTGACATGCTCTACACATGGACACAGCCTTGGCATATTTGTCAAGGCAGTTTCGTCCTCATTTCCTTCACCTTGGCAGCAATATGAATAATAACAAATACTAACACACAGTGCTGCAAACCACTGCATCCATGTGTCTATAATGTGCAGTTACAGCCTTTTTAAAATACCACATTGTCTCTGCAACATTATACTGAACGAGTTCTGTGTAAACAGTTCAAGGTTTTAATCTGTGCCACAGAATTAAAAACCTCACAAGCAAATCCTAGTCCCACGTGTGAACAGAAACTAACATCCATTCTTTCAATGCACATTTCTGAGAATGCCACCGCCACAGGCTCGTCTCTGACTTAAATGTCTCATCGCCATTTTCATCTTCATCACACTTTGGCCCGCTTTGAGTGGCTCTCCGCCGGAGGAGCGGCCCGCTTGTTACGATGGTGGGGGAAGGTTGGCATCAGCTCTGGCTCGCAGGCTGCACAGAGAAGCGGATGCAAAAGATTAATGACTTGAGGTACATCAGAGGGCAGGGAGTACAGCTGATACATTGTGCAAAATCACTTTACTCACGTAGAGGTTTCTCTTTGAAGTACGAACTCTCCAAACAGTCTTTGGCAGTAGCTCTGGGGCAGGAAAACAGACAACAGCTCTTAACAACTGTAAAGATACAGTGGAGTCACAATGTCTCACTCCCTCTGTCTGTGTTGCTATCGCAGTTACAATGATATGTGAGGTAAAATGACCATTTTTGTCTATGGAGTCTGGTGGAGAGCGATAGTGATATTACGGCTCTTTCTGGTTAAACAGAAGCTCTCTCTCTGTAGGGATCCTTTCCATAATGTTGTCAGACACAATCTGTGCCTGTCAGTGACAAAAAACTTTAGCGGACAAAGTCAATTTTGTTGATGTTTTATTTCTGTCCCATTGTTTTGGTCTGATGCTGCTCTAAAATCCAGTGAATCTGGTATATATAGCCTTTCTTTGTGAATTTATGATAAATATAACAATACTGTTGAAGCCCTTAGATGTGGAACCCAGGGAAGATCTCTGACACAGGCTCAAATTAAGTGTGTTAGTGTAAATCTAAGCGACTAGAATTAGAATGTTGGACTTCAGAGACCCCTTGAGTTCCTCAGAGGACCAGTTTGTCGTCACTGAAAGGATGACTCACCACCACCTGTTGTCACACACAAGAGAGTGTGTGAACCTCAGAAACACAACTAATCTCTCTCTAACTAAGAAATGCTTATTGATCATTCCTCAATATTTATAGTTAGGAATTTAATACATAGTGTGTCGGTGTATATAAAGTGTGATTTGTGCCATGGATCTATCAGAGTAATCATCTTGATTACACCCAGAAACAAACGACACATTATCTAACCATGTCGACCTGAGAACATCGCTGGTAGCTTTAACTATTTTTATTCACAGGGAGGAGGCACACGATCTTGATTGCAACCTAGCACTAACCATGGCAACGCCACCGGACTAGAGGAACGGAATTGCAGATTCTTCATACTTTAAGGAAACAGCTGGGTCATTCCATGGTAACAATGGAGTGACGGTCTCCAGCGCATCATCATCATGGCATCAGCAGGTTTTTAAACAGCACACACTGAATGAATCCATATCACTGAGTGGGCGGTGAACTGCTAACTTCCTGATATGAAGAAACTTATGTATAAATACTGTATCATGGGCATAATGGGCAGCGGAAAGTATCTTTACTCAAGTACTGAACCTAAAGCCTAACACCTGCACACAGGCACCTGTTTCCATAGGAGAAAGAGGCAGACACACGTACAGGTGTACATGATATGGCCTGAATCTCCTCACATAGTGTGTCTGTGTGTGTGTCTGTGCGTGTCTGTGCGTGTGTGTCTGTACCTGCGCTGTGGGTTGTACATGAAGAGCAGGTTGAGCAGCCTGTGTCCAGCATCCGACAGCCAGGTGAATTTATTCTTCAGGTTGTTGTACGGCTGCTTCCTCAGACTGTACTGACCGATGAGTGGCAGCTGAGAGAAACCCTGGGACGGACACACACA